CCAGTTAAGTATATATTTTACTGTTTTAAGATAACTATCAGTTATAAAGTTCTGCCATCCTGGGAAAAATGGCTTTGGAAAACATTAGAAAGAAGCTCTGCTAAGTAAGTTCTTTAAGCCTCAGTTTACTCATATATAAAATAAGTTAATGGGTTATTGTATGACAATGCATATAAAGCAACTGACAGCTTCAAGCACAAAGGAGGTTCCTTCTAGGCTAAAACAGAACGCTGATTTACATTACTGAAGTAAGTTTAACTTTTAGTTAAGTTTTTTTACACTCTAGTTAATTTCCTGTATCTGGCTTTGAGAGAAAGAACTGGCCCCTGCAAAATCTTTTTGCACTATATACTTACACTAAATGATTGCATTGTTTACTTTCAATTTATACATTGTTATATGTCAATTATATCTCAGAAAAACTGGAAACAATAAATTAGTAAAATAAAACTGATCACTGAGTAAAGAAATGGAAAAAAAAGAAATGAAAAAGCTTAAGTTACTCACACTCCTTGCTGAATAAATACATGCCTTTAATTTTAATTTTAGCTATAGACAGTAAGGGGCTTCCCTGGTAGCTCAGTTGGTAAAGAATCTGCCTGCAATGCAGGAGACCTGGGTTGGGAAAATCCCCTGGAGGGCATGGCACCCCACTCCAGCGTTCTTGCCCGGAGAATCCCCATGGACAGGGAGGCCTGGCGGGCTGCAGTCCACGGGGTCGCAAAGAGCTGGACACAACTGAGCGACTCAGCACAGCAGTGCAGACTGTAAATTGATTGATCTTTTACTGGGATTGTTCAATTAATACCTGGGATACTATTTAAATCCTGTTGGTTCATTTATTTTTTTTTAAATAGCAGCTTTACTGAGACATAATTCACATGTCATAAAATATACCTACTGCTTTTAGTATAGTCACTGAATTGGCAATCGTCAGTATAATCAATATTAGAACATTTCATCACGTTCATTACCTCAAAAGAACCCTGAGACAGAAGTAGAGAACAATCACAGGGTTTCCCCTGTGGAAGCAGGTGGGAGGCACTGGGAGAGTGGGACTGACATATATACGCTGCTGAAACTGTAGAAAATAGACAATTAATGAGAACATACTGTACAACTCAGGGAACCCTACTCAATTATCTGTGGTGATGTGCATGAATGGGAAGGCAATCCAAAAGGGAGAGGGCATGTGTATACGTATGACTGCTTCATTTTGCTGTAAGGTAGAAACTAACACAGCAGTGTAATACAACTATACTCTGATCAAAAATAATGTTAAATAAAACAGAAACCTCAAACCCATTAGCAATCACTTACCATTTTGCCCAAATTCTCACCATCCAGCCCTAGGAAACCACTAATCCACTTTCTATTTCCATAGATTTGCCTATTCTAAATGTTTAATATAAGTGCAACTATACTAAGCCAGTTTTGTGAATTGGTTATTTTCACTTAGCTTTATGTTTTCATGAATCAGCCATTTTATACCATGCATGAGCACTTCATTTCTTTTTAAGGTTTCATAACATTCCATTACTGAGATACACCACATATTCTCAATCCATTCATCAGTTGATGGACATCTTCTGTTGTTTCATTGTTTGGCTGTTATGAATAATACTGCTATGAACAGTCACGTAGACATTTCTGTGTGGCTGTCTGTTTTCAGTTCTCTTGGGTGTTTGTCAAAAACTGGAATTGCTGGGTCATATAGCAACTCTGTGTTTTAACATTTTTGAGAAACTACTAGACTGTTCTTCAAAGTGACTGCACCATTTTACGCTCCCACCAACAGTCTCTGAGGGTTCCAACTTCTCCACATCCTCACCAATACTACTGCCTTTCTTTTTTATTTTAGCCATCCCAGTGGGTGTGAAGAGGTATTTCATTGTGGTTTTAATTTGCGATAATGATGTCAAGCAGTTTTTCATGTGCATATTGGCTTTTGGTATCTACTTTGATTTGGGTATGTGTATGTGTATATATGTGTGTGTCTGTGTGTATAAATATATGTATGTTAGTTTCTGCTATACAGTAAAGTGAGCATATATATTCCTTCTCAGATTCTTTTCCATTATAGGTTATTACAAGATATTGAATATAGTTCCCTGTGCTACATAGTAGGACCTTCCTGTTTATCTATTTATCCCAAACTCTTAATTTATCCCTCCTTCCCTTCCTCTTCCGTAGCCATAAGTTTGTTTTCTATGTCTTTGAGTTTATTTCTGTTTTGTAAATAAGATCATTTGTATTATTTTTTTAGATGCCATACACAAGTGATACATGACAATGTCTTTCTCAGTCTGACATAGTTCATTTATTATGATAATCTCTACTTCCATCCATGTGGAGTTAATTTTTGTATATGCTGTGAGGTATAAGGGTTGAATATAATTCTTTTGCATATGTTTTTGCATTATTTATTGAACAGTGATTTTTTTTTCCTCCACTGAATTAATTTCTAATGGCCCCTGTGTCAAAAAATCAGTTGACCATAAATGTGAGGGCTTATTTCTGGACTCTCAATTCTATTCCATTGATCTCTATTTCTCTAATATTAAAAAAAAACTATTCCTGCATTTTTGTAGAGTAAACATTTGCATAAATAGAAGCATAAGAAGAAATTAAAGGACCTCCCTGGTGGTCCAGTGGCTAAGACTCCAAGCTCCCAATGCAGGAGGCCTGTGTTCGATCCCTGGTCAAGGAACTAGATCTTACATGTCAAAACTATATAAGAACTTATATACCCAAGTAAAGATCCCGCTGGCTTCAACTAAAAGATTCTGCATGCCACAACTAAATATTGAAGATTCCAAGTGCCACAGCAAAGATCCAGCACAGCCACATAAATTAAACCAACAACAAATATTTTAGAAAAAGAAATGTAAAGGAAAGATCAATCCCACTGTGGTAGAACAAGCTACTGGTTCCAATTCTCACTCCTCTCTGGTGGTTATACACACGCACACCCTTGTCTTATCCAGGTGGCGGGGGAGTGTACTCTGGGTGTGGGCTGTTTGACTCAGGGCTTGGCCATGCAATTTGTCCTGACTCTTGGGATGTCAGTGAACGTGACACAAGCAGACACTTCGAATGCCCGTGTCCAGTTCGTCTTACTTTCTTGCACTTTTGGGATCACATGAAAAGAATATGCCTGTGTATTCACTGGTTCCAAATGAACAGATGCTTGGAATAAACCTGAACCCACTCCATGATCTGGAATCCAGCCAAGTTTAGCCAGATCCTGCACAAAACTCTGAAGCTTAGGCAAGAAATAAATGCTTATCACTGTTTCCCACTATGGTGTTTGTGGTTGGTTGCTTTGTAGCAATAGCTATCTAAAACACCTACCACTTAGAGATAACCATGCCTATCATTTTGGTCTCTTATAGAATACGAGATTATGAAAAAAAGTATGTATACATACATACATATATGTGTGTGTGTGTGTGTGTATATATTTGCACTCCTATTGTTTTTATTTAGCATTTTTCCATAGTACCCTGTGTTTAATAGTTCTTGATAAACACCTCATTTATTATCAACCTATTCCAACCTTGAGAAAGTTATATATTTCTCTTAACCATTTCCACACTACTTTTACTATTTTAAGTAAAAGTACAATGCATTGTGTTTACTTCCCCTCTCTCAGATAAATCTTGGTCTGTATTTCACATTTTCCACAGAATGGATTCCTACAGGTAAAATCTTTAGCAGGTGCCTTTAACAAGGGTTCAAGGAAGAACCGCATAATCCTAATTTCCAAGGCCTTACTATTCACATTTTCAACTATACTCTGGCTAAACCTAGATTATTTTGCTTCTTAAGAAATGCAGGTCAAGAAGGAAGGGACATATGCACATCTATGGCTGATTCATGTTGTTGTATGGCAGAAACCAACACAACATTGTAAAGCAATTATCCTCCAATTAAAACTAAACAGCGAAAAAAATATACAGGCCAATTTTTCTTTCACTTTTTGAAAAACCATTTATGTGAATTCTTCCAACATGTTCCATTATACTATCTTTAGACATTTACAGTTTATTCTAAAGAAGACTGTTCTTGCCCAAAAAAATAAACTACACAAATCTGTACCTCTTATTTTCCTTGGGTTTATTTGGAAACAGGGCATGGGAACAAAATGCAAGCATATTTCTTTGGGTTTTTAATACTGGCATGGCTGATAAAGTGTCATATACCTAGAAAGATGGTATCCAGGGTAAGAGCCAGCTCTGATTTTCTCTATACCCGTAACAGCTTTTGGCATGTTGCATAGATGGATTTAATAAATATTTCTTGAATAAATGAATATAAGAAACTTAGAAAATGTTAAAACAGCCTTCCTGGTCAGACATTATTGCCCTCACAATGATTAGTAACTAGTTTTAAGGTTTCAAGGATGACAAATATGCTGCAACTAAAATTAGATGCAGGACTCTAAAGTAGGTCAGATGGCTGATACTGTATCTAAACTTCTCTGGGTCCATCTTAGCAAATAAATGGATCTCTCTCAGTTCCCAGTTCAACTTTTCTTTTCCCCAAGGAAAATCATGTTTTTTCAGATCATCTAATAACAACTGATCCGGTTCTTTTTCGGCAACTGTTAAAATGATTACCTTCAGAGCCGTAGTGACTGTCCTTGCAGAAGACATTCACTGACTTGCAGGACGTCTCACTGGGGTGCCCATCATTTTTCATCTTGTAAACTGAACCCTTCATCTCACCTGGCCATTGCTTCTCTCGAATCAGTTCTGTGGGGACCTGGGCCCCTCCGTCCCCACTTCTCAGGGGCTGCTGTTACTCACCCCCGCGGGCTAAGCCTGGAGACACCCTTTCAAAGGGAAAGACTTCCACCTGCCTCAGGCACTTAATAAACCTAAGTGACATTTTCATCTATTCAAACCCTGGGAAACATATTTTTAAAAGTCAGGCTGGCAAGTCACTCGCCTGGAAATTCCCTAGACAGAAACAGAACAAGGGACAGGAGCACCCAGCTAGGTTTCCTTAAACCGCAGGTGCTGAGGAGGCCCGCTGCGGTGCTGCGCCGGGAGCCGGGGGACCAGAGACAGCAGGCCTCGGGGTGCACGGGAACGCACGGCCGCCGTGGCCATGTGCAGGCTGAGCGCAGCCTCGCCAAGGCCACACTCGTGACACCAGCAACCGCGTCCCCTGCTCTGCCCCGCCCCGGCACACGCCGTCTGTCTGAGGGCGCAGGACCTGTTAACACAGCAGAGAAGGGGTAAGGAACCTCTGAAAACTGAAAACTGCTGCTCAGCTTGTAGGGAGCAGTAGATTCCCCATTTTTCTGTCAAATCGTGTGTCTGGTTGTGTGTGACAGTGGCACAAAAAATCCTCCAGCTGAACGAAGCACAGAAAGAAAAGAGAAATTCTGGAAAGTGCCCAGGGAAAAGTTGCTCACCTTGCCAACTAGGAGCCAGTGTTCACTGGAACTCCTGAACAGAGCAGAGCATCTAGAAAGAGAGTGAAAATGCAGATGAGGCAGTTATCAGATGGTGGCTATCAGGAACAGAGACAGCCTTCACCAGCAGCAGTCTAGCCCTCAGGAGTCTCCTGACAGGGTCAAGGCTCGGCCAGAGCTACCTGCTCACGAGTGCTCCCTGATGTTTGCTTAGAGGAGCCCTGCTGCCTCCCACCGTCAAGGGGACTGGCTCTGAGTCTGTAACCACTACAGCTGCGATGATGAAACAGTGAAGATCTGCCTCTAAGTCGAAAGTGTACCCAGAGATAAGGCGCATTTTCAGTGCCCTGCGGCAGCTTCTGATGGCAAGGCCCCTGCGCTTCTCAGTAAGTGGGGATCCAGAGCTGATTCATCTGACTTTCTCTCTAACACCACCCTGGGCTCCACCTCCTAATAATTTCATTACATGGCAGGGGTGGGGGCAGGTGGGGAATAGGAAAAGTGAGAGAATGACTTGTAAATTATGGCAAACTTTTACAAGAAGAAATGGGGAAAACAAAACCCCTTAGAACTCTATTATTAGCAGGAATGGAACTAATAATGTTACTATAGACGTGTTATCAGGCCAGTCATGTCCACTCTGGGTGTAATATTCTATTCCTTTGTGTTGGGCTAACTGAGGTGTGTAGTCCATGTGAAGGTGAGTCACACTGGAATAAAACCTACGTTTTTTGCTGATTCTTGTTTAAGATACTTGTTACCCGCTGCTGCAGATACTTCCGAGATTAAAATGAGAACAGAGATTCTGCTAAGCTTTCTGAGGAAATATATGAGTTTAAAAAATAGGGTACAGGATAAAATAACTTGATGAGGAAGTCTGAATTAATAAAAAAGTTACAAATGCAGAAACAACAACAAAAAAGGAGATGGTTGCCCTGGCTCTAACTGAAGGCATTCTGCTTTCTGTTTCTTTTGAGGGTTCAGGGATTTTTTAAAAAATATGTTTGATTTTATATAAAATCTCCAAAAACTTGCTGAAATATCTCACTCGGTTTCAGGTTCACTATTTTATTAAATATTCACCCCAATCAGTGTAAACATATTTCCATATATACAGAAGCAATGGATGGAATGAAAAAAAAAAAGAGAAAGGAAGACATGGAAAGAAAAATCAGATTCTCTTAACCCTCTATGAGCCTACAACTTATTAACACATGAAAAGTGACTTTTTATAGCCATATCGATTAATGTATTTGATACCCAACTTAATGAATCATGAGGTCGAAAATTGAATTACCCGGTACAATTTCTAATATTTCTTGTAAAAGGGTATGTGCCTTCTTTCACAGTTACTGAAAAATATGTTAATGTATGTAGCTATTTGTTAACTGTTTGCATTTCAAACATAATAAAGTTTGGGAAATCAAATCACCTCATTTGTTTTCATGACTTGAAATGCTGCTTGGGGGAATTTTTAGGCAAGGTACCAAGAGTGTCACATCTCCCCCTAGACAGCCCAGGTCTGCTACATGCTCCCGCCTGCCGTGCTCTCATCTAACTTGTCCCTCTGCTAGGTTTTTCCCTACAGAGCTCGACTTGTTAAGGGCTGTGCATTAATTTGCCTTTATTTTGTGTAGAGCCAGGCATATGCAGCATCTGCCCCGGGCCTGGAGCTGTGCTAGGTGCTGTGGCTGCAGCCAGGGGCACTGACAGTGGGGAGGTGGTCCTGGCTGTTGGCTACTGAGCGTGGCTGGTCACCAGGAACGAGAGGATCGGCCTGAAGGAGACAGGTATGCCTGGGAACAGGGAAGTGTGGGCGTGGGGGGACATGGCACCCCGTGCAATTAGCTGGAAGACATTTACCATTAGGAGCTTTGCAGCCAACTCTTTCTGCAGCATTTCCCAAATACTCAGGGTGGCAGCACCATTTCCACCTTGGCTAACAAGGCTTTAATGACTGTGCCAGGTTTGAATTGCTGAGTTACATTTAAGGACTATTTCAGAAAATTAATCAGAAGTCCTCTAGTAAGGCAGAAAAAAAGGTTGCATGCCTTATACATGCTCCTAATGACTCATATTTTTAGGACTATGTACAATTTTTCACTTGGGGGTAATGCAACATACCTAGCTAAACATGTCATTTGCATTTTACACCTTGGTTTATTTATTCTTCATCCCTCAAGAGATACATTTTATTGCTGATTACACTGTACAGGAAAAAAAAAAGGAAGTAAAAAGTAAACTCTACTTTTAAGGGTTTAACAGAGCATGAATCCTCTCAGTTGCTTTTCAATTTCTGGGCACTGAAGTTGAGTTTAATTAGTTGTCACCACAGCTGACTCAAAAAGTTTCTTTAAAAAGGGTAAATACAACTTAGGTTATAAAACAAACATCCTGGGCAGCAAAATAATCTGGAAAGAGAGTGGGGAAAACATAAGTCTGAACTTCAGTAGAATTTGACCAATTCTCAGGAACACTGGGGAAATTCATCTACAGTTGTCAGGACTTTACCCCGCTTTCTAGAAACATCTGTACTGTGAGCGATGGTGCTCCTGTTTACTCCCAAATTTCAAAGAATGTAACACCTACCATACGCCCAATTCTCAGCGAGCACTTGAGGAATTTTAGATTAGCCCAAGGAAGTATGACAAGAACAGGCAGCCCATGGTCTCAGAGACTGAGCACGCATCTCTGATAACGCTATTAAGAGGCAGGCAACCCATGCTTGCTTCCTTCTGAATTTGAATCTACTTTGAAAATTTAATGGTTTTCTGCTGGATTTTAATTATTATCCATGAGAAGAATGGATAACAAGTTACTGTGAACAAGTTATTTCTATAAATTTTTTATGTAGTGAAACAGCCTACTGTATAACAAAATATTACCCAGCTGACATCTATGTAACAGTATATCACTGGATTAAAGCGATGACCCCAAAACATTCAAGTTCGTTTTCCAGCAGGAGTGACTGCTCTGCCACGGATCAGAAATATTAAGAAGACATGAGCAAAGGCTGAAGGTGTTTTCAGGGAATGAGCAGAGCAAACAGAATTACAGAAAAATACAGGGTCACCTGCTGAAGGTTCAGTAATACCCAGGCTTTTATTGAATTTATCTGGTTCACAAAAAAATGGTTATTCTTGGTAATATTTGGACTCCTAGTTGAGTATTTTGTGTTGTATATAACACAACAACTTCTTTTATTCAAAGCTATCATCCTTTTTACCAGAGAATATCACAGTAAAATGTGAAAAAAATGTGCATGGTGGTTTTATGGCCGATAAATTGATCATCACAGATTTTTGGTCAAATTTGAAAAACAATTCTATTTTCATCAGCTATAAAATCAGAAGACGTAAAAAATTCTAAGGCAGACTGCTTGGTTATTTGAAATATTCAATTATCTCCACATTGAGGCATGTGATAGTTTATTACTTCAACAATTTAATTGCAATTTATTATTTTTACAAGTACTGTTATAACATACTACTAACTTTGCCAGTCAGTAAAACTCACTCAGGGAAAATCAATTTTGCATTTTTTTCTGACTGAGAATTCCTCCTAGTAATAATGATTAGTGAAAACTTAACAACATGTGTGATATTATTTCCGGAAACACTGAAATTTCAAAGACATCGCCTTCTAACCTTGAAGAGGAAGCTATTTTTGCTGTTGTCTGCTAAGGATTTTTTTTCACTTTTCTCTTTTTTTTTTAAGCACATGAGATCTTAATTCCCAGCCAGGGATCAATTCCATGCCTGCCCCTGCAGTGGAAGCACAGTGTCTTAACCACTGTACCACCAGGGAAGTCTCTAAGAAGTTCTTATATTTGCTTCTTAGGCTTAGTAAATTACCAAGGCTTACCTTTAAATCCTTAACATTCTCACTTACTGAAACCTTTAAAAACTTTAGAACAGCTGCTTTTATCATTACTGTTGTTTTAAAAATTCTTTTTCTACATGGTGTAAAATCAGAGAAAGAAACAGGATGACTCCTATCAAAAGTGGCATAACTCTGGATACAAGGAGGAATGTCGTATGACATCCCTTACATGTGGAATCTAAAAAGAAATGATATAAATGAACTTACAAAATAAAAAGTGACTCACAAACTTAACAGAACCAACTTATGGTTATGCGAGGATGGTGGGAAGGGTGGGGGAAAGGGATAGTTAGGGAGTTCGGGATGGACATGTACACACTGCTATATCCAAAATGGAAAACCAACAAGGACGTGAAGAGAGAACTCTGCTCCATGTTATGTGGCAGCTTGGATAGGAGGGGAGTTTGGGAGAGAATGGATACATGCATATGTATGGCTGAGTCCCTTCACTGTTCACCAGAAACTATCTCAACTTTGTTAATCGGCTATATCTCAATACAAAATATACAGTTTTTAAAAAGTGGCTAACTCTGATTAGCAATATTTGAGTTTATCTGAAAAAGAAATTAATTGATTTGTATGCTGTTTCTGTCTTCGTGTTGTGACATTTTACTAATTTCGTGAGTAAGTAGTAAAAGTGAAGAAAGTGTGGTTTTTAGTTCTTCCTGAATGTATCCATTTAGCCAACGCCTATCCTCTGTGGTTCTATCAGAATTATGTTTGAAAAATATCACATCACTTAAATAAAATTTTAAATTAAAAATCGTGTCACTTGAGTAAGTCTAGAAGATAGGTTTTATGGTTGGAAGATCTGAGACTGGGTCTATGTTTTTTAGCCATCTTTTCACTATTGTAAATTGGATAACTACACACCCTCATCATCTGGTTGGGGGGAGGACAAAACTTAGCAGGCGGAATGTTATTTTTGTTAAGTTCATATGAAAAATGCCTTCTGAAATTTTCAAAGGAAACAGTCAAGATTTCTAATCTACAATTCTCAACAAGAGATCTTCTTTCACATGTTAAAAAAAAAGTTCCTGAAACAATCTAACTACTTTTCAGACAGCCACACTTGAGTTATGCTAATATTTCTACTCTAGACTCATTTTCATTGTCGACTTTTTTTTATTTCAAATAAACAGAAATATCGGTTTTATTTTCTTCAGGCTTATAACTATGTTTTCATTTAATTTAATGGCCTATTTCTTTCTGGGTTCATCAAAAAATTCTGCCTCTCCGAAGTCTGAACTAATGAACACTTATTCCAGGTTTGTGATACAAAGCGTCTTTTTCCCATGTTAAGGTTATTTTAGATTTAAGTTCCTTGTCATGCTGGACATGTCATGCTCATATGTAAATTCTTATTAATGAAACTGGTAATTATATTTATATTCAATGGTATTAACTGTCTTCTACTGTTCAAACATCTGCTGTGGTCTCTCATGAAGTATCGACCCTCTTCTATTTTCTTTCCTCTCTTCTGGCCTTGCATGGCTCCGTGTGCTACCATGGATGCCTTTCCTCACGTGTGTCTGTAAGAACTCTAGTATATCCTTTAGGACTCAATTCAGAAGTCTCTTTGCTCCTTATACATCTTTACTAGAGCAGTTTTGAAGCTGGAGTTATAATGACTGATTTACACTTCATTCTGTCTCTCAGATTATGGATCCATGTTGCTAAAACAAAATCCAAGATTTGTTCATATTTGTATTTCTGATACATAAAGTTCACAAATGTTTGTTAAATGGCCAAATGACTATATTTTTCTTTAGAAAGGAGCTACCAGCTTTTCTTAGAAATGGCAACAGGTGCCATTTGGATTTTTGTGTTTCTGTTTTCTGTAGGATGCGATCATCATGGCACCTGAATTACTGATTCTTTTGGGGGTGGCAGTAATACTGCAAGCAGATTTACTTCCTGATAAAAAATGTAAGCACCACCTATTAAATTAAATAATTTTTTTAAAAAGTACATTACAGAAAAGGATAGTATTACTTTCTCCTAAATATGACTCAATTTGGAAATCATGACTTTTAAAAAAAGGGATGGAACATTTATTCTTATCAGAATATCAGTTCTTTAAACATACTATATTTTAAGAGAGCAAAGTTGGCTGAAGTGCATATTTTATGTTGCGGTGGGAAATCATATTCCAAGTGTGGGTAAACGGGCACTCAGAACAAAGCTGCAGCTGGTGGCCATAGTGGGACACCTTCCCAGACAAAGTCCTCTCAAAGTTCTCAGAACCAAAGAATAGGAAGCTTGCACTATGTTTGGTTCAGAAACTTGTTGATCAGTGGGTTTAAGGGAAAAAACAAAAACCCATCACACAAGCCCCCATTAGCAGCACTGAGAGAACCTGCTGCAATAACGACCATTCGCGTATGCGCACTGTCCAGTGATGCCTGACTATGAGCACTGGATATACGGCTCACGTAACTAAGACAGTGAACTTTGATTTTATTTAAATAGCCACATGTGGCCAGTGGCTACCATAATGGTCGGTGAAGTACAGACAGAGCCCCAGAAGTCTGTATGTACCAGGTGTGGAGGCAGAGTCGTGGAAAGCTATTAAATACTAAATGTCAGTGGAAATGTGCTGACTAGTACATTCATCAAAGAAGGTTTCATAATTGTACAATTCTCTAAGCATTCCGAAGTGAACTCACTCAGTCGTATCAGACTCTTTGCGACCCCGTGGACTGTATAGCTGACCAGGTTCCTCCGTCCATGGGATTTTCCACACAAGAACACCGGAGTGGGATGCCATTTCCTTCTCCAGGGGACCTTCCTGATCCAGGGATTGAACCCGGGTCTTCTGCACTGCAGGCAGACTCTACCATCTGAGCCACGGGGGAAGCCCAACTTTAGCAAAAATTTTTAAAGTTGTATAAATGTACACTCAAGAAAAAAAAGATAATAAATGTATTACATGTTAATGCCACTCAGTGATAAAACTGTGGCTGTATTTTTTTTCCTTATTTTTTTGATCATCTGTGCTTCCCAAGATTTCTAAGAACAGGCATTGATTTTGTAATTTAAATGAAAGCTTTGATTTTGAAGACAATGTTAGAGAGTGGTTCATAAAGGCAGAAAAAACATTTTCTTTTCATAAATGCTCAGTGAGTAATTTTGCTTACAAGTTTTTTGACCTTGAATCATAGTAAGAAACAAATCTTTACATCCTGAACCAGTATACAAATACGTGACTATATTTATGGAACAGAAATAAGAGGTTCATGAATAGTATTTCTTATGTTTGATGCACCTGATATTTTCTATTCAATTTTATTCTATGTCATTAAACACACTGCTACCCACAAAATAACATATTATTTTAGTCCATTAATAGATAATGACCCTTTGAAAACTATTATACTTAATAATAATATAGTAAAATATTCATATTTCAATCAAACACCTGTAGGCATTATAGGTAAATACCTGGGCAAAGTAAAAAAGATAATGAGCTAAAAACAGTTTAAAGAAACTTTTCCTAAGACTACTTCAGTGTTATACATTCTGATAGCATAACAAAATACTATACTACACAATAAAAGGAAACGGCAACCCACTCCAGTAGCCTTGCCTGGAGAATCCCAGGGACCGAGGAGTCTGGTAGCTGCCGTCTATGGGGTGGCACAGAGTCGGACACAACTGAAGCCACTTAGCAGCAGCAGCACACAATAAAATATTGAATGATTTTAAAATGTTCCATATAATTAAACATTGCATGGCTTTTTTCTTTTGATCAACAGTTTTACTTCTACCACCAGTCAATTTCACCATTAAAGCTGTCAATTTAGCTCAAGTTCTTTTACGTTGGGAACCAAATCCTGATCAAGAACAAAGCAATGTCCAGCTAGGATATCATGTGAAAATAAATGCTCCACAAGAAGAAGATGTAAGTATTTATTCTGATGGCAATCCTTACCTAGAATGAATTTTCCTTATTTAAGGAAATTTTAACTAGAAAGAGAGAAAAGCACTACAGAGCTTTCTGTTACATTCCTAGGTCAATGTCTCTATTGAAATGGCTGAGAACTAGAGCCACACTGGCACTAAAACAGTGGCACTAAAAAAGTGGCTCGGAACATTTTTAACTGTGGGACCAACTCTTCCACTTAACAAGAAAGTTTAGTAACTTCTGAGCTACAATAGTTTAGATATTGATTTTATGTTGCCTCTAAAATATTCAAAAGAACAGAAGAGAACAACCAAGCAAAAGAGGAGAGGGTCCATTGTACTTAACGGAAGAGATCAAATTCAAATCCCAGTTCAGCCACTTCCTTACTTTACTACCTTCCACCAGTCACTTAAAATTCCAGGGCCCCAAGTTCACTGCAGGGCTATATTAAAGCACCAGATACCTAGCTGATGTGCAATAAATCAAACGAAGGGAGAAGCAGTACTGTGTCAGTCAACACAGAATTCTAGACAATTCTCTGGCAAAAATTTACCTCTGGGGAGGAGATTGGAGCCAGAGATGGTCGCCAAAGGAAACTGGAGTCTGAACTGTAGTATTTTGTTTGTTTTTATAAGAAGCGGTTATTCAGGTATCCTTGGACAATTATTTTCTATATTTCATTATGTATTTTTAAAACATGTACCAATTGAGAACTAGGCAATTTGTTTATTCATTTTTAAAACCACTTTATTTTGATAAAAAGCTGCACCTATTTAATGTGTACAACTTGATTGATGAGTTTAGGGATAAGAACATAACCTTGAAACACTGGGTTTGATTTTTTTTTCTAGCAAAATGATTGCATTGCATTGTGTTTACATGTCATTTAAAAAGTGGAAGCAAACTTCTATTTGATTAAATAGTTCTCTGAAGGCCATTTCTCCTTTACATATCATGACTTGTGGGTTTTATTTTTAGTACGAAACCAGGAACACTGAGAGCAGCCTCGTAACCATCCTTCACAAAGGCTTTTCAGCAAGTGTGCAGACAGTGCCGTGGAACGACCATCCCCTACAAGCCAGCAGCTGGGTTTCTGCGGAACTTAAAGCCCCACCAGGTAAGGCAGGTATCTGAGAGACGGTTTTAAATTTCAGAGTTTTGTAAGCACGGGAAAGTCAGGAAAGGAACACACCTTGCTTTTCTCTAAGTTAGCCACTAGTCCCTACCGTATTCTTTTACCGCATCCACGTCCACTCCAAGACCGAGATCACTTCTTAGTGTGTGTAACCCAGTCAATCCCACCCAGAGGCTCCCTGCAAACACTGAGGATTCTTCTCCCTCCCCGGCTCAGAAGACAGGGAGTCGTAAACAAAAGCTGAGCTCTCTCATAAGTGGGCTCTAGGACATCTTTCCACTCCCTCCCTACAAGAATCCTCTGCTCTCCTCAGATGACTTCCAACCACGACCCCTCCACACCAGCACAGTCCTACCTCACCCTCACTGCCCTGAGCTTACCTCTTCTGCCTGCTTCTCGGAATTCCTCCTGTACTTCAAAGCCCAAATCAAACCGTACCTGCTCTGGGAAGCCTCCTTTTTTCCATCCGATGCATGGAGGGATGCTGCTCCTTTCAGAACTCATTCAGGGATGCTGTGCTACTCGTGTGGCACAACAAACATCATACTCTCTAGTTTTCACAATAAGTAGATGTCAACCCTGCCATCCTGGGCCCTATTACCCTGTGGGCAGGGCAGAGTCTCCTGCTTTCCTGCAACAGCATACAAACAGCATGTGTTTCAGACATTGTGTTCCCTGTTACACTGGTGGATTTGTTTACAACTCTATGACATCTCAAATGAAATTGAAGAAAACTGTGCTGACAGTTCTTAGAAACCATGAGACTGGATAACCTGAGTGCCACGAGGAAAGAGATTAACACTTACTATGTCTATATGGTCCTTCTGTGGAAAGCCAGGGTTTTTAATACTCAGAACCAGTAACACTTATGACTCAAACCTTGAAAACACACACACACAGAACAGAGAAAGACAAAGGGAGGACAGGCTACCAAGTCTTGAGATGTGTATGTGTGCGCATAACAACAATGGCCTTGGCCAGTCCGGCTGTGGTTATCTATCCCCCAGTCAAACTATCCCCTCATGACATCACTGCATGAAAAGGCCATGCCCCCCGCGTCATGTGTGTGACTGAGAGCAGTGTCCTGAAGATCTCCCCGTTCACTCGGCAGAACATGATGTCTGGAGCACAAAGCAGCCAGTTCACAGGAGGCTCGATGTCACAGGCAGAGACTAATCTATGGTAGACAGAAGACCGCAGATACAAGTGTCATCTGCTGTACACTAAAGCACGTCTCCACCTCCCTGCAGTGGGTACTGGAGTGTGCCTGTAACAGCCTTTCAGAATTACGCTTCTGCAACCTCAACTGCTCTCTGTGCACACTGATGTGGGCTGACACTAACGGAAACGTCATTATTTCTGCCTTGAATCAGACTGAATTCACACCACAGCATTCCTCGGAAGGGAACTGGGAGAGGAGCAGACCTCAGAAACTCTCAACTGTACTTGGCACAGGTTATCTGGTCATTTAGTGCCGGGAGACAGTATACACACACACATATGCACACACACACACAGACACGTACACACACACACACATATATGCACAAAACACATACATACACACATATACACACATGTGTGTATACATATGAAAATATGTGCATGTGTGTGTGTGTATGTGCATATGTATACATATATAAGGGCTTCCCAGGTGGCTCAGGGGTAAAGAATCTGCCTGCCGATGCAGGAGCCACAGGAGACTTGGGTTCGATCCCTGTGTCTGGAAGATCCCCTCGAGGAAGGCATGGCAACCCACCCCAATATATTCTTGCTTGAAAAATTCCATGGACAGAGGAGTCTGGTGGGCTACAATCCATGGGGGTCACAAAGAGTCAGACACGACTGAGCAGCCAAGCATGCATGCACACATATGTATATATGCACATTCACACACACACACACATACTCGCACGCACATACACTTCTGTACAGCAGAAACACAGTGGTATACAGCAAAGGGAGTCAGCCACACACATACATACAGCCCCAAAACAAATTCAGAGTGGATTAAAGACCTAAAGGTAAAGTCAGACAGTAAAAAGTTCTTAGACCAGAACACGGGCAGAATACTCTTTGACATAAACTGCAGCAAGATCTTGTTTGACCTACCTCCCAGAATGATGAAAATAAAAACAAAAGTAAACAAATGGGGTCCAATGAGGCTTAAAAGCTTTTGCAAAGGAAACCAGAAACAAGTCGAAAAGACAATCCGCAGAATGGGGAAAATATCGGCCCACACAGCAACTGACAGGGATCAATCTCCAAAACATACAAACAGCTCATGAGGCTCAATATCAAAAAGACAAACAACCCAATCAAAAAATGAGCAGAAGACATAAACAGAAATTTCTCTAAAGACCTACAGATGGCCAACAAACATATGAAAATATGCTCCATATCACTAATTATTAAGAGAAATGCAAATCAAAACTACAACGAGGTATCATCTCACACTGGCCATAACAGTCATCATCAAAAAATATATACATAAATGCTGGAGAGAATGTGGAGAAAAGGGAACCCTCCTACTCTACTAGTGGGAATATAAATTAATATAACCACTATGGAGAACAGTATGGAGGTTCCTCAAAACACTAAAAATAGTTACCATATGACCCAGCAATTCTATTCCTGAACATATACTTGGAGAAAACCGTATTTCAAAAAGATACATGCAACCCAATGTTCACTGCAGCACTATTTACAATAGCCAGGGCATGGATACCACCTAAATGTCCATCAATAGAGAAACGGATAAAGAAGATGTGATACATATATACAATGGAGTATTACTCAGCCATAAAAAGGAGCCAAATTGTGCCATTTGCAGTGATGTGGATAGACCTACTGTCAAACAGTGAAGTCAGTCAGAAAGAGAAAAACAAGTATCATATATTAAGAAGGAAATGGCAACCCACTTCAGTATTCTTGCCTGGAGAATTCCATGGACAGAGGATCGTGGAGGGCTAAAGGCCATGGGGTCGCAAAGAGTTGGACACAACTGAGCGACTAAGCACTACACATGTGGAATCTACAAAGATGGTACAGAAGAACTTATCTGCAAAGCAGAACAGATACACAGATATTGAGAACAAACATACCAAAGGGGAGGAGGGAATAGGGTGAATTGGGAGACTGGGACTGATATATATATATATATATACACACACACACACACACACACACACAACTATGTATAAAACAGACAACTAATGAGAACAGACTCTACAGCACAGGGAGCTCTGCTCAATGCTCCATGGTGACCGAAAGTAGACTTTACTACACTGGTGTGTGTACTGAGTCTCTAAAGAGGCAGTGTTCTTTTGCGATGTTGCCAAAACTACTTTCCTTTTGAGCAGCAATCTCTGTTACTCATGAAGCATTTGAATACTACCTAATGAATCACTTCACTCTCTGATGCCAAGTGGTGCTGGAGGCCTTCCTTAACTAGCTCTCTCAGTCATAACTAGTTATTGACAATGGAGAGTCAGAACCCTGAGGCTGCTGTATACCAAGCTCTGAACGACAATCTATCACACTGCTCTTGAACTCTGATATCTATCACATATAAACCCTCCCTGCAAAGAAGCTGCAAAACTTCTGAAGTCAGAAAGTAGGGCTTAGTCATTTTAGTTCATCCCCCAGAAAGCTGACCTTTTGCAAACAGGGTTCTATAACTGAGTGATAACAATTACTTTTTGATGTCCCCAATCCCTATGGGTTTAAAAGAAAACTATCAAGAGCTATCGTGGCAATGCTTTGTTCTTTTTAAAAAAATTTTTTTTGTTGGAATAGAACTAATTTACAATGTTGTGTTACTTTCCACTGTACAGCAAAATAGGAAACAATTCATGTGTATCTGCTATTTTTTTCTTTTTCCAATTTTTGACCATCTAGGGTCTCCTGGAACTGAGATTGTGAATTTAACTTGCACCACAAACACGAAGGCAGATAATTACACACACACAGGACCATACCAAGTTTCTCTTCACTGCACCTGGCTTGTTGGCAAGGACGCCCCTGACGACACACAGTATTTCCTCTACTATAGGTTAGTACCAATTTTCACTTATGCGAATGGGTTGTTTCCTCCAGCCTTAAAAACTTATGAGTAATATTGCACGGTGTATATGTACCACAGCTTCCTTATCCATTCGTTCCAATGTAGGTATCGCTCTCGGACTGAAGAATGCCAGGAATACAGCAAAGACGCCCTGCGGAGAAATGTTGCCTGCTGGTTCCCCAGGACTTTCATCAACAGCAAAGGGCGAGACTCCCTTGCAGTGTATGTTAACGGCTCCAGCAAGGAAGCTGCGATCAAGCCTTTCGATCAGCTCTTTGCCCTTCATACCATTGGTAAGACAGGCCTGACAGAAAACCAGAATAACTGAATTGCAGAATCTCAGCACTGGGAGGGTTTACAGATATCACCTAGTTTGGCTACTTACCTAATGCTGAACGACCACATGGCTCCTGCTTAAAAACCACAGGGTCAAGGTGTCTCAGCCTCGGCACCACCCGTGTTATCTGGCCAAGAAGCCTCCGTGGGGCCGTCCTGCGCCTTACAAGGTGGTCAGGAGCAGCCCTGGTCTCTACCTGCTGGAAGCCAACAGCACTCCACCCCCGTTCTCAAGTTGAGACAATAAAAATGTCCCCAGACTTCTTTCTAACCTCAATATCTAATGATCATTACTTAAAAATTTTAGTTTTACTGAGGTGAGAGAGGTAAGAGGTGACAGGAGATGTGTCCTCCCAGTCTCTGGAGCACGACAGAGCACTGGTAACTACAGGGACAAGTTGAACAGCAGATCTTAAAACTTAACTTTTGATTTTATATTGGAGTAGAGCCAATTAACAATGCTGTGATAATTTCAGGGCACGGCAGTGACTCAGCCATACATATGCCTACATCTGTTCTCCTCCAAAGTCCTCTCCCACGCAGGCTGCCATATAACATTGAACTGACTTCTGTGTGCTATACAGTAGGTCCTTGTTGGTCTTAGTAATTCCCTGGACATTTCAAAATATCCCCCTAGTTGAGAATCCAGGGAAAGTGAGCTCACTGCTAAAAGAAGCCCAGACCACCACTCAGCAGCTCAGGCTGGTCTTGTGAAATATCTGCCCACGGATTCTGTGATGGGTTGGCATCACCCCCAAACAAGTCTGATTCCTTCCCCACAAAGTCCCTCAGCTATCCAAAGGCAGCCAGAGAGAGCTCTCTCTTCCCAAACTATTGGCCTCTTCCCCAAACTACCGGCCCCCAACTTCTCATGCATTCCTCTCCCAGTCCTCTACCCTTCGGACTGTCTCCTCTGGGTGTTCTTGAGTTAGCAGATCTCCCTCACCATGTGATTCTCTGACTGAAGCATATGAGCTAAGCTTTTGCTTGTTCAGTTTTCAAAACTGAAGATCTTCTCCCTCATCCTAAATACTTGTATTAATGAAATTCATCGGGAGCCCCTCACATAGCATTTCTGGTTCTTACTGTTCAAGGCTTCCGTGACGGCGAGGTTATTAGTGTGAACTGTGGAGCCAGGCTGCCTGGTCATGGATCCTGGCTTCTCCACTCACTTGCTGAGTGACCTTAGGCAAGCTGGTCATTTCTCTGTGCCTCAGCCTTTTCACCTGAAATATGTGGAGCAATCAGGTCTTCCTACAAGGTCTTTGTGACAATTAAGTACATTAATAATTATAAAGTGCTTAGAATGGTGCCTGACCTAAGTATCCAATAAATATGCAAAATATTACTTAAAGGATGTGGTTTGTGACATATGTATCTGTTTCTACTTTTCTATCATCCATGTGTGTATCGAGTGGAGTATAACTTTGTTTAAAGAATCGGAGTACTTGCTGAAGAGGTTATACAATTCTCTTCAATAGCATATTTTAGGTTATATTAAATGACCTAAAAATGTCACTTTCATGAAAACAGGCAATAAAAAATACTGAGAGAGACCTATGAAACAATGATATTAATATGAAAATGGACACAGCCTGGGACGGACTACAGGCATTTATTTTCTTGTATGATTTTCATTTTATTGAGACCAATTCATCATATTACTAAAAGAAATAAATCTTCTCTTGGTGAAAAATGTTTTGGCTTAGGGGATGGTAGGCTCTGGAGCCAGTGGGCCCCATTTTTAGCTTGTCCCTATGATTCAGTAATTGTGAGATCCAAGTCACATAACCTTAGACAAGTCCACTCAATTAGAAATAATTTCCACCCATATCAAGCGGCCATAAAACAATCAAGTGAGATCTCAGGGGAAAGAACTATGGAGTTATAAGCAAAGACAAATTTAGCCCAACCAACTCTTTTTCTGTAAGAAAAAACCAAATTCTCACAACAAACGAAAACAAGATACACAAACCAAAATGAAATAAAAACTGAGGCCCAGAAAGGGGAAGTGATCAGCCCAGCCACACACCTGTTTCATAGCACAGGGCTTAGTTGGGTCTCCAGGACACCTCCTCTCCAGGAACAGGTTTACCCTCAGGTTGGCCCAACTCAGGAAGTAAAAATGGATGGTGGGGTGGGTCTTAATAAGCTGAAGGAAAGGACATTCAACCATTCGAGACTGTTTAAGTACTAATTTTCAAGTTTACAGGAGAGAGCTCTCCTGTAGCTGTAAGATGCGAGTCAGATGCGCGCTGCCGGAGATCTGCAGCTTGCAGATTTGTTGTTTTAAACGCTGGAGGGAAATACTTGAGAATATGTAGCTTAGAAATACCTTGAGAAATGTGGGTGGACTGGACTTATCAACCATGATCACCGAGCTCTTGTTCTCTAACACAGATCGAGTAAATCCTCCAGTGAACGTCACAGCAGAGATCAAAGGAACCTGTCTCTCTATCCACTGGGAAAAACCAGTGTCTGCTTTTCCAAGCCACTGCTTTGATTATGAGGTGAAAATTTACAATGCAAAGAAAGGATATTTTCAGGTAATGATTCCAATCATTCCATTATTTGATGGCAGATTTCTTAAAAAAAAAAAATTCTTGTCCATTTGACAGCTATGGTTATAGCCTGTAACTAACAAAGTCAAAGGTAACATATCTATCCCAGTTTGTAAAAATAAATCAAACCGTACTGGTTTTTTGTCTTGAAAGGACCTATTTTGCGTTGAAAATAATGTGAAGGATCAGATTAAAGTTCTTAGCACTGTTGGGGAAATGGTGCAGCTGCTATGGAAAACAGTACGGGGATTTCTCAAAAATTAAAAATAGAGTTATCATATGACCCAACAATTCTACTTCTGGGTAGATATCCAAAAGAATTGAAAGCAGGGTCTCAGAGACCTGTGAACAACTGTGTTCAGAGCAGTATTATTCACAACAGGCAAAAGCAGGAGATGGGGTACACAATGTAAATGTACTTTTACTACTGATCCACACACTTACAAATGGTTAAGATGGTAACGTTTCGTTATGTGTGTTTTATCACAACTCAAAAAAAAACACGCCACCTCATTAGCCCTAATGCACAAAAAGTTCAAGGGGAAAGGAGCTGAATGAAAGTCAATATTTATTAAGCATTAACTATAAGTTAAGCTTTGTTAATACTTGGTTTAATTGCTCAGTCATATCTGACTCTTGTGACCCCATGGCCTATAGCCCGCCTGGCTCCTCTGTCCATGGAATTTTCCAGGCAAGAATACTGGAGTGGGTGGCTATTTCCTTCTCCAGGGGATCTTCCTGACCCAGGGATGGAAAATCAGGTCTCCTGCATTGCAGGCAGATTCTTTACCAACTGAGCGATCAGGGAAGGCCCTTGTTATACTTACAGTTTCTCTATTATGTAATTATACAATGATCATTCCCATCTTACCGGACAGTGAGGCACAGAGAGATTAAGTAAATTGCCCAACATCACAAAGCAAAGTAAAAAATTGGAGAAGTCAGGATTCAAACTCCTGCCTTGCAAACTCAATTTGGTTTAACAAAGATTTTTACAAGCTGGCTTCTTGTGGGAGATAGACAAATAGGCGCCATTTCTGCTCTCAGGGGGCCTGGTCTGCAGGATGCACTCACCCAGTCTCAGAGCTGCCTGACCAAGAGGCCACGTGGATACAAAGCAGGGGGCCAACAAAGCAAGCTGCCAGGGCCTCCACCCAAGGGAGAGGAATTGAACAGAATCTTGAAGTATGAACAGAAACCTGCCTAGTGGGAGAAGCAGAGAAGGGCTTTTTTAGCCAGCACTTGCCCAAGTAAATATGGTAAAAAACTGGCTTTCTTTTTAAAAGTTCTAACCCACCATATACTGGTATGATTTGCTAGAAAAATCAAGTATAGCCAAAGACAAACCCAGTGATCCTGAGCTTAGATGCCATGGCAATGTCAAATTGCTACAAAAGCTCCCAAACTGTTGTTTCCATTTGTGTATTTCTTCCTTGAGGGCCACAATAAACAGCCCTCACTCACGCCAGTCCTCCAATACACTTGGCGTGGTCAAGGCCCTAGGCAGGAGTAACCAGGGCTTGAGAGAACAGGGTTCCTTCAGCCAAGTGGCAGCATCTCAGTCAGCTGGACGTAAGGCCAACACTGAAATCAGGACTCGAGCTCTGACATTAGTGCTTCTCCCAGGATGACTCGGAGATTCTGCTTGAAAAAAGTAGTTTCTCTTTTTAAAACCATGGCCATTAGCAATGGAAGGCACCGGAGAGTTTCATTCCATAGAGAAATGTGAACACATCTGGAAAAATGCAGAATTACTTTGGTAGCAGCATAAAAGCTGGGTGTGGGTAGAGGGGAACATGTGGAGATAGAAATAGCAGTCTCATGGCTAATGCAATGGTCCAAGCAAAAATTGATGAGACCTAAAATGGCTGTGTTTTTGGAGTAGAGACAAGGAAGGGAGAAATATATCCAGGAGTATGTAATGTGGAGGCCCCAGGGACATAAACTTGGTTTGGGGCAGAGGGAATTAGCTGCGTGGTGAAGACCCTGACCAGTAGAGAACATAGAAGGCTTTGTGAGAAAACAGCCTCAATTCAACACTATACAATGTTAAGTCTATGATGCCTATGACAAACTGGAATTTACTGAGTGTATATTATTAGGTTGAAATACCCCAAGTGGTTGTTTTTGCAGATCAAAAACTGAATATTAGCAGTTTTAATGTGATTCAATCCAAAATCTCTTTAAGCTTGGCCTTTACAAAGTTAGGGCTTCTTTATTTGATAATCCATTGAGGCTCCGAGAGGTCAAGCAACTTGCCCTGCATTTAGTTAGAGGTTAGCACTAGGATTCAAGCCCCCTTTTCCTAGGTTCAAGGGCCCTGGTCTTTTCTACTTCCTTATGCACCCTCCACACCTCACTTCTCCTCCCCACCGCCGGCTGGGAGTGACGCACTGACACAGGGATCAGCGAACTTTGACAGCAAAAGGTCACAGAGGAGATATTTTAGGCTTTGCAGACTATGCTGCTTTTGCCAAAATTACTCAGCTCTGCCAAAGATACACGCAAACAGACATAACTGCATTCCAGTAAAACTGTTTGTGGATACTGAAATTTCATGTAATTTTTATGTGTCACAAAATACTCTTTTTATATATTTCAGTTGTTGAAAAATATATGTCATTCTTAGCTTGCAGTTTTTATAAAAACAGGCAGCAGGCCAGGTATGTCATAGACTGCACTTTGCTGGTACCTGTTCAGTATGATGGAAGCCATGGGATCTTGTTAGGTGATTACAGAATATCCTGGGACAAGATGAGGGGAGTTACAGATCCTGCTATGGGCCACTCCACTCTTTCACTCTGGAAATATCAGTTGGACCCAGATGGATCACTGAAATCTTACAATTGCCTACTTTATTTATTTTGGTTGCTACTAGCTTTCCATCGAAGTATGACTGCCAACACATCCATACTGAAGTGGTCTAGGAGACACTAATTGATGTGTATCTTGTTGATTTTAAACTGGTTGCTGAACACTGAGTCACTTGCAGATGACCTTCTGGTCTAGTCACTGGCATAATTTAAATACCATATTCCGAAGAGTCTTATCATATTATTTTTTCCATTTAGACAGAAAAAATGACAACCAATACACTCATCACCATAATTGATGATGTTTCTAAGTATTACATTCAAGTGAAAGCAGCAGTGAGTCCTGTGTGCAGAACAACAGGGCTCTGGAGTGAGTGGAGTCAACCTATTTATGTGGGTGAGTACCTCTTGTTTATTTTAAAGCAAGTGGCCTTACTCGTGGTTGTAACAGATCCTCGTGGAAAATGGACATGTTCACTTCTGAGTCTTGAAATGTCTTCATTGTCTCTACTATGCCTTATCCTATCAGTTGGCTTGCTCCCTTTCTGACCAGAGGTGGATTTACCTTAAGAACAGTGAAGTTGAAACATTCAAGCCTCTCACGAGCACAAGCTCTTCCAAAGTCTGGTGCCTATTTAGTTTTTTCAGATTACCTAATTCCACTTCTATCCAATTTTTCCAAATGTGTTTTTTTTTTTATTTTGAGATAATTATAAATTAATATGCAGTTTCAAAGAAACATGCTCAAAGAACTCATGTAGACTTCATTTGGTTTCTTTCAGGAGGAACCTCTTAAAAACCTGCCCTGCAATATGCTACCCCAAAAAAGTGGCAAGGATACAACCCATCATTCTTATTCAGATTTAACTGATTCTATATGTACTCATTTGTGTGTGTATTTAGCTCTATGCAATTTTATTCCATGCATATGTTCATGTATCTATTACCACAAGGATTCCTCTGTGCCCTTTTATATGCATATTCATCTCTCTCCTCCTTCATTCCTAACACTGGTCAACTACTAATCTGGTCTCCATTTCTGTAATTTTTCCATACCTAATTTTGAATTCTTATTTTTGTTTCATTTCATAAAGAAGATTCCAAAACTGAATAAGGTCAGGGTCCACAAAATCTGGATTCAGACCCGGGCCTTCAGCAAAAACAGACCTCAATTCAGTTCAGTTGCTCAGTTGTGTCCGACTCTTTGCAACCCCATGGACTGCAGCACGCCAGGCCTCGCTGTCCATCACCAACTCCCGGAGCTTACTCAAACTCACGCCCATTGATTCAGTGATGCTATCCAACCATCTCATTTCTGTTATCCACTTCTCCCACCTTCAATCTTTCCCAGCATCAGGGTCTTTTCCAATGAGTCAGTTCTTCGGATCAGGTGGCCAAAGTATTGGAGTTTCAGCTTCAGCATCAGTCCTTCCAATGAATAAGCAGGACTGATCTCCTTTAGGATGGAATGGTTGGATCTCTTTGCAGTCCAAGGGACTCTCAAGAGTCTTCTCCAACACCACAGTTCAGAAGCATAATTCTTTGGCGCTCAGCTTTCTTTACAGTCCAACTCTCACATCCATACCTGACTATTGGAAAAACCATAGCCTTGACTAGACGGACCTTTGTTGGCAAAGTAATGTCTCTGCTTTTTAATATGCTGTCTAGGTTGGTCATAACTTTCCTTCCAAGGAGTAAGCGTCTTTTAATTTCATGGCTGCAGTCACCATCTGCAGTGATTTTGGAGCCCCCCCCCCCCCCCCGCAAATAAAGTCTGTCACTGTTTCTATTGTTTCCCCATATATTTGTCATGAACGGATGGGACTGGATGCCATGATCTGAGTTTTCTCAATGCTGAGTTTTAAGCCAACTTTTTCACTCTCCTCTTTCACTTTTATCAAGAGGCTCTTTGGTCTTCTTCACTTTCTGCCATAAGTGCAGTGTCATGCATATCTGAGGTTATTGATATTTCTCCCGGCAATCTTGATTCCAGCTTGTGCTTCATCCAGCCTGGCATTTCTCATGATGTACTCTGCATATAAGTTAAATAAGCAGGGTGATAATATACAGCCTTGACGTATTCCTTTCCCGATTTGGAACCAGTCTGTTGTTCCATGTCTAGGAATGGGCACCACCTGGACTCCTATATTGGTTCTGCAGATGTTTTTGTTTATGATTAAACTGACTAGCTTATTAGGCAAATAAGGTGATCATTGTATCTGTCTGTGGGATCGGAGAAGGGTGATGACGGTGGCTGTGAATGAAGGGGCAAATTTCCATTTGTCCTCTATGTCAGACGGTAATTCTCTAAGTTGGAGAGGTGGTCTTGCACCATGAAGCTAGCACATGCATCCCCTGTGTTTGCTGTCACCTGTGTGTACCCTGGCCATGCAGGGGGGCAATGCACGAGAGAAGAGGACAGTTAAGAAAAACAACTACTGCTCCGCAGAACTCTGGAGTCTTCCACAGCAAGCTCAGATTTCATGCTAGCCTGGCACATGCTAACTACTTGTTCAGCCTAGAATACATCACTTCTCTCTGCCCATCCACAGGCTCCCAGAGCTAAGGAGACAATATCCACTTCTCCTGCCTCACAGGTTATTGTGAAATAGAAACAACAATGTCAGTAGATAAAAGATTTATTGTTGACTACCTGCTCCCCACTAAGCACTGAGCCAAAGGCTTTACACGTACCCTTTCACCAATCCTATCCACCAAACTGTTTTGTACATGAGAAAAAAGAGTCTTGAACCATTTAGACAGTTTGCTTAACTCTGCATGGCCAGTAAGTGGCAGAGAAGGAATTCAAACCCAGGCTAACTGACTCCAACACCTGAGCTCTCAGCCCTACAGCACCGTGGCCAGAGTGCTACAAGCTAAAACCCTGAACAAATTAAAGACTCATTTAAGAGATCCTGGTAGCTAACTGTGTGGTTATGGCTTGTCAAGCACATGCATGTCACATACCTCATCCTATGAGGTAGTTAATGACAGGTACTAAAGGAGAGATTTCTTTCTTTCAGCACATGCTATGATTTTCTATTTAGAAATGAGACACTTAGCCTACCGAGTGTCTCTGCAGGACATTCCTGGGCAGTGCCCACTGGCCCATGTGGATGTCAGTACAGATCAAAAACACAGCAGGGAGATTTCCAAGGCAGGCTGGGGAAGACAAGCAAAGGCCCGAGGGATGGAACATGATTCTGAGTCTGCAAGGCCTTGCTGAGTTTCCCAAGGGGAAAGGTGCCCCTAAAGTTGCGCCACAGGATCAGCACAGCCTTGCAGCTCTGCCCCCATATGACCCTACTGGGACTCAGAGGAGCAGCAAGAGCCTTCCTGGGAGAGGGAACTGAAAGGAAAAAAGGAACTGAGAAAACAAGCCAAACGCCCCTACTTCATGGTTCAGCCAAGGCCAGTCTTTCCCTTCCCTCAACACCCTCCTTCCCAGGTTGAGGCCCCAACCTGATAGAGCAGACCCAGCACACAGCACCCCTGCCCCCCGCCCCGCCAACTCTGCTTCAACTGCACAACTGAGATCCACTCTGCTCCCCAAGAGGGGACCCAACAGAAGAAACACAAACCCATGGCAGGGAATTTCAACAAGGTTACGAATTTCACCAAATGCCCATAGTGAAAGCTTAATTTTGATTACCTGCATTTGGTGGAATTTTGTCTTAATGCTTTGTTATTCCCCAAAGGCACAAACATCACTGGCCCCAAAGTACTGGTATTTCCAGGGGTCTTCCCAACATTACTGCACACACAGTTTCAGAGATTTTTATTTTTTTCTCAATGCTGTTAGAGGACCTCAAACTAACTTGGAGATCATGGTGGGTACATTGGCTGTGGATCCAGTTCTAAAGTTTTAGTGTTTGTGTTCTGAATTCTCATCAGTGTTGACTGTGAAGAGTTTAGAACTTAGAGAGGAAGAAAGCGAGAGACAAATCAGGAGATCTAGGTTTTCGTAGTGGCTATGGCAGCGTCTAACTCTCTGATTGAAGTTAGAGATGCAGAGATAACATTTCATGAGCCAAGTAATCAGAGACTATAAGGAGAGACAGATTACTTTAGGTCATCTGAAGGCAGGGCCAACTATTGTCACCCCTGCAGGGGACAGAGGGGCTGCCCCATGACCTAGTCAGTCATCCCTAACCTTCCCAGGTCTCAGCTTCCTGCCTGTAACACGTGAACTTCCTCCTTTTTAAGTTCTTTCCAAATCTGCCTTTCACTTTCCCGGTTCCCCTATCCCCCGCCGTGACAGCCCCCTACCAAAGTGCTGAGAGAGATCCTGACCTAGAATGAGAGTTTATTTTAAGCTTGTTTTTAATTTATTATTCACTCAGCACTTTAGAGCTGGCACCTCATTATTATTTTCTAAACAACAGCTTCCCGGTTTGGAACTGGGATCATTATCCTTTGCCCTCAGGTATGCCTCCCTGCCATCATCACGGCAAATCTTATTTCATTTACTGCCACTCTGGTCATGAAGATGCACTGATTAATATTACCACTAATCTTATAAATCCATCCTTTCTGGAATTTACTCCCCTGCTCAGTTTAGGATCATTAGTGAATTTAATCAATGCAGGCTCTCCATCGCCATCAAGATGATTAATAAACTAATAGGAAGCCCAAGCTCCTCTGGGACACTTCACACGGCTCTTCCTTACCCCGCGAGGACGCAGCAATAATTGTGCTCTGCTTGCAGCCCACCAGGCAGTGTTCCCACTCCATCCATTTCCTCCAGACATCCTTCCTCCTCTCCTACCTTGTCTTATAAATGGCACTCTGGAGCCCTCCCCTTCCATTTTCACACCAAGACCCAACTAAAATACCACCTCTCTGTTAGGTATTATCAAGTCCATCTCCCTTATTTGAGGGAAATGGAGACCCTGAGATATTTAATAATTCAGTAGTTACCAAACAGCCAAGAAGTGGCTATTAATGGATAATTTTCTCAAACAGGTGACATATGAGTCAATTAGTAAATTGCAATAAATTCAATTGACTAGCTAACCCACAAGAGCCCAAGGATCTTGATGGAGAGAGACACCAGGTGAATGCATTTTGGCAGAGGAAAAGGGAGGATGGAGGAGTCGGGACTGCTGTCTGGCTCAGCTGGCAAGGTCACTGCACAGTCGAGGCAGCAGGCACAGTGGTTACGGGTCCGCCAGCCTCTGTGTACTCTCCGTCTGCCTTAAAACACTGTCCTCCCATGCTGGGATTTCCAAGGCATGGAATACTTTTCATTTATTCCTCAGATGGAAGAAGCAGTTTCATTTTATCTGCCCTTATTATCAGCTGCCCTTCCTCAACTGGCTACTCTGCCTTATCTGAAGAGCTAACTTCCCACTTTTCACGCTTCTTTCTCCTTTTGTAACTTTCTTAACTTCCGGA